TCTAATAAATGAAAAGATTTTTTAGAAATAACAGTAGATGTTTTTTCAATACTAATGACTTACCCTCGTTTTGCTCGGGTGCGTCCCTAGGTATGTTTTAATTTTTTTGAGCAGAACCCTATTTTTCTAAAATAAAATTTGCCTAAGTTATAACATCAGGTATCTTCCAGTGAAAGTCCCGTCAAAATTAGTCCAGCCGTTTTGGAGATTAGCTGGAACAAACAGACAGACCGACAAAAATAAAAAAAATATGTATTTTTCTTATAAGTATGTACTTGATATGCACTTAGTAAAAAGCTTTTATTTCAACATTGCAAACAGACACTTCAATTTTATTTAACTGTATAGATTATCAGTTACCCTAATCTTGCTCGTATAGATGCTCTTTTGTATTTGAAATATTACTAGCGATTTACTCTCGCTTCGTTCGGGTTAGTTAGTCTCTAGGTGCCTATGTGTTACTTCAGATATCTGTATTGTAAATCAAAATTATACTCAATTTTCATTAACAAAGCTTTAATAGTGTCTGTGATTTCATGATTAATCAGTCAATGAATGAACAGCATTTCGCTTAGATAGTAAATATAGATAATATAATTGAATTCGTGATACAAACCAAATCGATTGATTGTAGAAACGTGCCACGGTTTACTGAATTTGAAATATCGGGCAAAATGTTCTAGCCACGTTGCTACAATATATTAATGCAAAATTATTGCCACTATAAAATATTTATTTGTTAATTATTAAGGTAGATTTTAGGCGGTATTTTGTAAAAAAAACATATAGAAAATTCGACAATAGTATATGTCTATCTCTAACCTAAGATATGATCACAATAACGATGCTTATCTACATAAATAGAACGTAGATATATAGAGTAATATATAGAAGAAACATACTCTTAGGGAAGGAGAGTACACCGCTTTTTCATTTTAAATATGAAAGTTTGTGAATAAATATGTGTATTTGTTACAACTTGATATTGTAACGGCTAAACAGATTTGAGTGAATTTTGGAAATAAATAAATATGTTGGGGCATTAACACATAGCAGTCAGCACCATCTAGTTCTATGGCAAGCTACGAGGCTTGTGCTATGGATACCAGATAGTTGATATACTACACATATATAGTTTTAAATATATACATATTATAAATATAAACACTCTGGACTGGAGTACAAACATTCGTGCCTATCACACAAATAAATGTCCCCAGCGCAATTCGAACCCGCGACCGCTGGCACAGCAAGTAGGGTCACTACAAACTGAGTCAAACATGTAGACAGCTAGATGGATTTTTATCAATATACAAAATATTTCTATTTACTATAAATTCCAATTTAATAATATTTGTATGCGATCTTTGATACCTTTGTTGCGAACAAAGCATTCACTTAAATTTATTCAATGAATAGTCTGTCTGTTATCAATGTCAATAATTCAATATATTGTCAAATTATTGCACGAGTATACTCGTAAAATTAGAAATCAAGATCAAATTCTAATTAGTATTCTATAGTATATATACATATTATAATATATTATATATATATATATATATATATATATATATATATATATATATAAGTTCAACAGCTATCCTTGCTTCGCACGAGTGCGTCCTTAGGTGCTTATCAGTAGCTGACGTTACTCGAGGTCAATCTGTCCAGTTATTTGAGCGTATAGAAATAATAACCATACAAACATACAAAACTTTACATTTACATATTATGTATGATAGTAGTCCATCTTAGTAGATATTATTCCTCCTAAAAATTGCTTAAAGATTTTAATATTCCTATTGTTCAACAAAATAATAAACATATTTATATAGAAAACTTATACAATGATCTGTTTTCTTAACACTAATACTATCGGCTACGTGCCTGATGTGAGGTCGAACAGATTGAAGCTGAGGGATTATGTCGCTTAAACTTCTTTGCTTTATCGTGACAGAAAGCTTATCTTTTCAGAACTGGTGTAGCTTTATGAATAAAAGTTTATATTTACACTTATATTATAAAGGGACAGAGTTTGTTTGTTTGTTTGTTTGTTCGACGGCGTTAATCTCAGAAACTAGTAATTCGATTAGAAAAAATATTTTTGCATTAAATAGCACGTTTTTGAGGAAGGCTATAAGCTGTATGTCATCCCGATGTATGGTTCCCACGGGATATATTAGTTTTTGTCTAGAGCAAAAGCAAACAAGCAAAGCGAGGGTGAGTCGTTAGTGTATTTATAATTTATAAAAAAATTCTAATGGACAAGTGTAATTATTTATTCTATAACTTTTGCTAGCGGCTTCGCCCTTAGTTTAATAATTATTCTCGATAAATAGTGTATGAAAAAATAACACACTGACAATTCCAGAGATTCGACCATTAATGTTAACAAAAAAGACATATTCTGTTTTAGATATCAGTAAAGATGATACTCGTAAGTTAAAACTTTCAAATACATTTATGAAAGTATTATGGCTATATAGAGTAAATGATAGAGTTTTATTAATTAACGCTTCTCGAGATTTTAACGACTATCAAAATTCTTTGTACTTCCCGTGCAAATGATTGTACATCTTGACCTAAAAACTCTACCGCTACATTTTCTACTCATTAATAATTTTTGCAATTGTTTATTTAGATAGATAATAGTATAATTGCATTGGATTCCAATGATATTCCAATCAACGCGCTCTACTTTCATAATATTTTATCGCTGAATAAAAAAATATAAAGCCGATTGTAAAATTTTAATATTTAACGAATTCCACTAAAAAAGGCATTTTTTAGTATTTCGTGTAAATAGCATACAATACTTAAGTCTATTTACACACGTACGATTTTTGTTTTGAAGTATTATAGGGAGTTATTAATGCAGAAGACCGCTTTCCAGCACTATACATAATATCGTCACGTACGTGCATAGCAAACTTATCTAGACGAATATTCATTGTGAATGAAATATTTTGATTTTTTTTGCCTGAAGTCGATAGTCAATGAATGTTTTATTTTGTAAATATTTTATATCCTACAGTGCTTATTATGTTTGATTATATATACATATATATATATATATATATATATATATACACATATATATAAATATGTCTTTGTTTCCATTTGTCAAGAGTTTATAAAATTGGTAAGTAATTTTACTTTCATTATATTCTTAGTGTTAAAATGGACAAAGAGCTAATAAAGATAAAAAAAGAAAGCAGTGCTCTAAAAAACACCTTTTTCTATTAAATATCTGTTATTGCAACCAGAATATTCATTTTATAGGATAAATAACATATGTACAGGCGATTTCCAAAGGAGAATCTACATATTTGGTACGCTGTGGAGTGTTCATGCCTACGGTTTGGCTAGCTTATTCGTTATTAATCTAGTTTAACACCTGAGCTAGCATTGCTTTACCAAGGAATGCTTTGGTTTTATCGTTAAATAAATTGCTACAATATTTCATATTTATGAATTAAGAATAAAAAAAAACATGTTATTAATAATATTAAGGTAGCAATTCTTTTAATAGATAAATTTATTTCATATATCTCGAATTTGTATCAAATTTTGCACTTAGGTAAGGTTTTGCTTTTAAAGTTTATCTATATAGGTAGGTGTCTTTTTGAAAAAAATATTTTTTTTTCTCTCTTAGAAGCTCTAGCACCAATGTATTATGTATTAAAGAAGTAATTCTACAGTATTTTTTATATAAAAGAGATTTCCTACTAAGATTAATAAAGGGGCCATAGTAACGCTTAGCTATATTTTTTCTCTTTTATCATGATGATGTTCTCCTGACCGATTTCGGCTACGGCGACCAATCTCATTGAGACTAGCCAACTGCGCAGGAGATATTATAGTGCACAAGTGTACGCGCAGACACAAGTGCACTCTCTATTCCTGTCATTCTCATACTCCGGTGGGACGACTATTCGACACGACCAGTGAGAGTTAAGGCGTAGGACCGACGGCTTTGCGTGCTCTCCAAGGCACGGGGGTGAAACACCGCCAACTTCCCAACTCCGGGCTGTTACTGAGACTTACTATACAGAAATACTCAATAACTAAACTTGGCCCGCCTCGGGACTCGCACCCAGGACCTCCGGGTGTGCAGCCGTACATGCTAGCCACTACACCACCGATGCAGTTTTTCATAGACAATAGTGGTTGCGTATCCAACTTCATAATACGTTAACTTTTTAATCGATAGGTATATAAAAGTATTAGTAGTTAGTAGTAGTAGTACCTTTTTTTCCTCTGTCAGCCATTTTTTTTTAATTTGGTTTATTAGCTGTTAACGAGTTTTAGTGTTAATAATAAAAATGTATATAGATATGTAAATATGCACGATAAATACAATATCTATTCGGTGCAGAATGTAACCCATGATTTTTGTGGTGTTAAATAAAACAAATAGTTTATCAAAATCGGTTCAATCGTACAGGAGTTTAGGAGTTACGAGGGAACATATTATTATGATGAGATACATACTTAATAAACACGTAACTTACTTAAGGTTTTGCCAATGTCGGTTAAAAAATAGCTATAACATAAAAATTACAAAATAGATAAATAAGACACGAACTATAAAAATGGTCTTTATTTAAATCAACATTAAATTTGAAAAACAATTTGACTAGACTATCACATAAATAATACTACATAAATCCTTTAATTCTATACAACAATTTAATGAATTTCACATTAGAAATATTCTAATGTTTACTTCCGCTGGTATTTACCCTGGTATTGAGGATAATAAAATGCGGTACTCGATACTCGCTTCATATATTTCAATTAGATGTCTGACATCGTTATATTATATAGACATGATATTTATTTACGGTATAGCTATTATATAATAAATATACCGTAATTAAAAAAGGTTTTTTTTATAGTAATAAATTGATAAATATTTACAATATTCTTTAAGAAGTCAAACAACACTTTCATTTATGTCACTTATATTAAAGTACCTAAGAACTATGTGTTTATATCACAAAAACAGCCAAATATAGTATTACGGTGGCAACACACAGAAGCGAGGACAGTCCCAGGTCTCTTACACAGTGCGCTTTGCCTTGCATAGCGGCTGGAGTCTCGCCTGCAAAATAATTTTATATTAATAGGATTAATTAATAAGGTATCACACTTAACTCTTGTGTAAGACCCCTTTAAGCAGCTTCTAAGGTTTCAAGAGGATAGAGTAGATTAAAGGGTACGAGAATACTCGATATTTAGTTTTTTATTATGTTTTTCCACTATATATTTACTATAAACTCGATTAGAAGAATGATGCCTCAGTCTTAGGTGTTCACAAGTCCGTTCCAATTGTATTAAAAAAATGCAGTGAACAAAAATATTATATAATATCTTAATCTCAATAATATCGATATTTCCAATAGATATATTTTCATGGTGTGGAATCGAACCATTGGACCATAGGGGGATAAGTTAGTTATTAATTTAACAGAAATTTTATAAAATTATATGACGTCTTAATTCTTTCTTATATAAAATAATAACATTTTAATACAAAAAGTATAATATTTTGTTGGTATCTTTCGTGCAAAGGTTTCATATACTTTTATTTCGTCATGCTAGGTAAATCTCGTGGGATATAAACATCCATATTGCGAAAAATTGCTGGAAGATGTACTGAATAGTATAGTTACTGAGCGAGGGAAATGTCGTCCATGAATTGTCAGAATATTCTACATTCGATTGAAATGAAATGAAATGAAATTTATTTATTTAGTATCAAATTCCTATAAATATACAGTAAATAACAATGGCTACGATGATACTGCAAAAGTATAAATTGCGTTGCAGATATCAACGCCCGCCTCCGTACAATACTTAAGCTATTTTATAAAAACTAAAAATTGGCATTTGATGAACTTGAATATATATGGGTTATATACCTTACATATTACTAAACTAGCGACTCACCCTCGCTTCTATTGGGTTCGTCCCTATGTTGATTCCCCATACAAACTTTTATCCCTATGTTCACCCCCTTAAGTTATAATTTCCGGGATAAAAAGTATCCTATCCAGAGTCTCATACTATCTTTTTTCCAAAATTCATCTAAATCGATTCAGTATATCCAGAGATTACCCCCTAAAATCTCATAAACTCACAAACTTTAGCTCTTTATAATATTAGTATAGATCCCTGTAATTATTACAGGGAAACTATGCAACAGAATTATACAGTACCATCAACAATAATATTCTCAGAACTGATTCAGGCTAAGGCAACCAATCCCACTGAGTAAGGCTGTTTGAGACTAGATAGAAGATATTATTATAGGTCAAATGCAGATAGATATACATTGTAATCCCCCACTTTCACAGTCCGATTGAACGACAATCTGACACGATTGAAGAGAGAGAGGACGACGGATCTACATGCTCTCTGAGGCACGGCGGTTACAAAGCTATCTAAATTCCGGATACTGCTATGAATTTTCCAACACTTTACTCTGAACTACTTATTTGGCGATTCCATACAAACTGGTCTGTACACCAATGAAGCAGAAACCAATATTGAGTATATATTCTATTTATTTAATGAGATTGATGTTCATAACAGATTATCAATTTTGAAGTTGTGCTAAAATATCGGGAACTTAAAAAAACATGCAAAAACGGTATAATATCTCATTTAAAACGATTAAAATTTTAAATAATGTTAGGTTAGGTTAGGTTAGGTTAGTTATTTATTTATTTTTAGCTGACATCAAAACGTAGGAGGAACTGAATTCGGTTGTATTTTATACGTAAGCTACACGATATATTTGTTTTTTTTTTATAGAATTGGTACCTCAAGAAATTAATAATTACAAACCAACATACATACAAAAAAATTAAAGCGATTACTAAATTCGGGTATTGCCAACTCTGATATTTTTATGTGCTAATCTAATTATCAACATAATTACTGCTAGTGAGTCAAAAGAACCTAACTACTTTAAGAAAGACGACGTGACGTGAAGTCCACCAACCCACATTTGGCCAGCATTGTGGATTTTGATCCATTACATTATTCTCATCACATTGAGGCACTGAGACCTGAGACCCAGCGCTGAGACCTAAGACCCAGCGCTAATAAGGAATGGATTATTTAATTGTGAAGTGTACTTGTCCTGGTATTTTTTTGTATTATCCTACAGTAGCTAATGGCAAGAAACAGAAACAACTGTGTGACATTTTTTAGTATATAAATATCTACAAGTATATACCAAATTCTCTTTACCTCATTAGTCTGTGAAAGAAACAAACTAACAAGAATACTTTCATATTTAAAATTTACATAAGAGTAGAGACTTGGAGAGCATTCTCGATGATTTTAATATTTACTCAACTGTCTCATTTGCATCTGATTCAAATGCAGTAATGTATAAACAAAGAAAACTTGACCTGGTTTTATAAAGAGTTAACTTTATATAATTGATGTTTTATAAATATTATATTAATACTAATCACAAAAAATGTGTTTTTTATATTTATTCTAGTTTAAAGTTATCATGGGTAATATAAAACTACTTAGATTTAGATTATTTCTACGTAACTGGTTCTTGTCTGAAATACCGGTTGCGTGCAAGTTACGTCAGAAAAAAATGGCACTATCTTGTATATGTATTCACAGTTCTTTTATATATTTTTCCCATATCCTTTTAAATAAAATAAATGTAACACTGCTCAACCCGTTCTGAAGATTGGTCCTGACGATAAGTCCACTGAGTACTTATTTGTCCAAACTACCAATACTTGTATACCTTTTTTGAGCTGTGTATTTATAATAATAGAATTTATATTTAAAAGTAAATTATTAATGAAATAATAATAATTCTTTCAATAAATTCGTCGTTTGGATCAATATCCATCTCATTTTAAGATTTGAGTTAAAAAAAAATACGAACATTTGCTTATTTTACTAATGAAAACTAACCCAATATTCAAATTTAACTGAAGAATAATATTGCCTATGTATCCAAGTGAAAGAATTAAAAAAAAACAATGTTACTTTTTTCTAAAACCATTAATAACAAATTCTAAAAAACATTTTGACTTTAAAACACAATTGAAAATTAAAATGAAAAATTCTTGCTGCATGAAAAATACATCATATCTATATCTCCATCTAATTATCGATACTTAGCTTTGTGAGAATTTTATCGCTCTAACTCCAATGGTTTGTTCTGGACATCGAAGAATTAGTAAGTCAAAATAAGACGATATTCAAAATAAGAAAAAGCTTCTAATACCTTAAATGTATATTTTAGGTTATTACTTCTATATAATAAATATAGAATAAAATACAAGGAAAGCCTTATTTTCCTTTAAGTCAATCAAATTTCTCGTAAAGTTTACCTAAAAACATTAACTATTCATTAAGCATAAATTGTTTCGTTATCTTAAATTTATTCTTATTTAAAAGGCAATAAAGATAGTATTATTACACTGTCAAAGTAAATAAAGCTGTCGTTGCCACAGTTATGAGGCTAATATTCCGAGAGCTGGCGACGAATTTTGAGAAGGTCCTTTTGGCAAGTTGAAATTGTGAAAAAATATAATTTTGTGAATTGGCGAGTCCAGTCCCGCGAGTCTGGTATAGCTTTAGCGGTTATTTCGTTACTGCGCAGTATATAACATTTGCAAAAAAAAAAAAACAAAAAAAGCATATTTTTGGCAACTTGATTTTTGTTTAATCTTTTAATTTAGTTTTCATATAATTAAAAAAAAAAGAACCCCAGACGTTTTTCTCGGTTATAAAGTATTGCCAGACCTTCCCAAAATTCGTCACGAGCTCTCGGGCTATAATAATAAACCGCTTCTGACAAGGACGTGGCAACTCCAAGTCGACATACACGTTAAATGAAAGTTGAAACCAACTTTCATTAAACTATAATGATATACGAGCTTCTTATTAATTTTATTTTTATGAGTCCCAGTCATGAAAATACGTTTTTTCTATTTTTAAACTTTTGTAATGTAATTTTTTTTTATGTAACATGTATTTTATTTTATGGGAAATGGGAAATATATTTTAAATAATTGTGAGTACGTATACGTCATGCAAGATAGTCATTTTTAACGAACTTAAAAAAAAAAAGAGGAAGTTATCCCACGGGAACCGTACATTTTTTAGAGATAAAAAGTATCCTATTTGTTATTCTGATGTATGAACTATATTATTGTAAGGTTTCATTAAAATCCAATCGTAGATTTTTTGTACTAAGCTAAGTTACTATAGTTTTTTAATATCCCACGGGAAATCTTTAATTTTCCGGGATGAAAAGTATCTAAAACGTTGACTGGGGATATAAGGTACCACCATGCAAAATTTCATTTAATTCGGTCAAACAATTTCGGAGACTAGACCCGTACAAACAGACAAACAGATAAACAAAAAATTAAAAAAATATCTGGATTTGTTGTATATCTCTTCTTACATCCCCCTGACTCGGTTCTTAGCATTTTTTTTTCTATGTACAGACATTCGACATCTACAGTTTTATTATATGTATAGATTGTACTTAACAGTATATTATTATAGTAAGTTATGAACAGTTAGTTGCATTTATAGCTTTTGAGATTTCAGTCTCTGCATAATGCAGGATGCCTCGGTTTAAAGGATATCTATTCAATGTGCAACTTTTACGTTTGAATCTAATAACTCGATTTCAAACTAAAATCTAGTAAGCGCAGAGCGAGCGAATAGAATTTTCATTTGTAACCAAACAAATTAAATTTGTGGCCTCGAGCATTACAGAATAACTTATTTTTCATTGAATGAAATATAGAAACTAAAAAATTTTTTTTAATGAATTACGCAAATTTATGACTGAATTTACATTGCATTCTAATTATTTTTACTTAGTATATATTTTCTTGTTTTGAAAATGAAAATTTGTATAAAAAATATGAGAATAATATTTTATTATTTTTAAACTAAGCTAAAAGGCATTTTAAAAATAATTTCTATCAATAACCAAATTGAAAACATCCTTTTTTGAAATAAGTTAAAATATAACTATAAATAACTATGTTTGTAATAAAATATCTATTTAGTAAAATAATCTCATAGCCAAAAACCACATAAGAAAATTATTATATTGTATGAGACACGTGGATTCTTACGTTGCTTATTTAATTATGTCGAACTTTCATAATAATGAAACGTGCTAATGGATAAAGTATCAAAAGTAGTCACTGTCAATTAACAAAGTATATCAGAGAAGAAAATAACATATCTTAATAACTGAATACATAGCGCTTGTAGCTCTCACGTTTGAAAATTGTGATTTTGTTATAAATTGTATTTTAAAAACTTTACACAAAAAAAAAAATATTTATTTATAATAAAAATATAATCGTAATGCAGTACGGGTTCGTTTTTTATACCAGGTATTTTTATTTGATAAATTTAATCTTGTACTATATTGATCTTTTAAAATCTACAAACCTATTTAACGACAGTGTATTGTAAAGTCAGACTAAACTTAAAGCATCATATAGACGGATCCGCCATAAATACGTAAGTTCCAAGTTTTGACAACAGACTTATAGTTATACCACATAAACTAGGGCTTTAGTAAATCAGAGTAAAATATCAAAATAGAACTATCAAAACTAAATGAAAATTTCATATCTTACCAGTTAACACGTGCACTCTAGCCGTGGCAGATTGAGCATTATCTGGAACACATTGGTAGGCTCCAGCATCTGACGTGCGTGCTGCTTGCACCAGAAGCCTACTGCTACTATGAATTCCCTTCTCAGTGACTAAAGATATGCCACCTCGTGTTGAATCGAAATTTATCGTCTGTGAAACGTAAATAGATTAATAATAGTTATTTCAAGTACCTTTTAAGATATTTTAGAAACATTTTAGAAATAATTTACTTATTTTTATGGGACCAATATTTTATGGGATTGATATTTTATGACATCACTCCTAAGGTTTAATCTTTTCATTAAACAAGTCATGCCACTTGATTCGCAGTTGATAAAGATATCGGGTACAGAAGAAGCAGTTAGTTGTGTTTATTTTTGATTATTTTAGAAAGGGAAAATATGTGTGGTAAGTATGTATGGAAATTAGTCAAAAATAAATATTCCAACTGTATATTAATTATTTATGATAAGATTTTTACAGATAATGTAACTAAATTTTACGGGTTTATCACTTAATTAAAGCTATAAAAGATTTATCTTATCCTATTAGTAAGTTGCTATTACGGATATTATCTATTGTATATGTGAAAAATGTATATGAAAAAATATTTATTAAATAAATAATGTTCAACCAAATAAAGTAAAATCATTGAAATGAAATTTGTATAATACAAAATAATTGTTTACGTGTAGGATTTTATGACGAAAAATGTAAGTTAAACGTAAATGTTAATATAAAACTAATATTATAAAAAGATAAACTTTGTCAGATTGTATGTAGGAGGCAATCTTTGAAACTTTGAAACAATCTTTGAAACGAAAAACAAACGAAAAATTTAGGAAACAGATCACGTTTCCTAAATTTTTCGTTTGTTTTTCCTTAAGTGATATATACTTTTTTTATTTATTCCTGTCAGAAATCATAATAACTTTAATTGAAATGAGGAAAAATTGGTTGTTGATTGGCTTTATCGGCTTGCGCCGGTCGCTGCCTAAACGGTTTGAAATTAGGAATCTGTTAGCTGTCAAGGAACAGTGAGGCTTTCATGTAAGCTTATACGAGTATGATACGTGTAAAAGTTTACATTTAAGCTTATGTAAGTTTATTCGTTTTATTAAACGACTTCCAAAAAGGAGGACGTTCTCAATTCGTCAGAATCTTTTTTTTTATGTATGTCCACCGATTACTCGAAGACGCTTGAACCGATTTGGTAATTTTATCTATTTGTAATTAATATCTTTTTAAAATAAATTTCTTAATAGAATATGTTATTAAAAAGCCGATGCAAAGCAAATCTAATATATTTTGATACGTAAAATACATATTTACCTATTAGATATTCATCTTAAAATATTGTCGGCTGGCACCGACTTCGAAAATATCTGATTAGGTGTCTATTCTAAATGAAAACCCCCGTTTAATATTTTTTTACATTTTAGTGCCTGGAAGTTGGTTTTTTTAAGTTTTTATGAAAGTCTATCTTCTTAAGTTAATATACAGATTCGACTCAAATTGAATTTTATTACATGTATATATGTCGATCACATACTAATTTTATTATAACAATATATTTGAATAAAATTCAAAACGGTTCAATATAAAGTAAGTAATACGATCGTTAATATCAAGGAAACCAAGATCGTGGTAAAACTTGCCGTTATACCGTATCGTGGAACGGAATACTTAATGGAATCCCAGGGGGTGATAGTGAAAGCAACGAATTTACAAGCCATTTGTGACTCGTAGAAACCCAATCAACTTCAATATATGTAAATTCTACCTTTGGTTTAATGTTTTATTGGAAGAAGCTATAAATGCAAGTATAGCTGCGTGGACGAAATTTATAGTTTACACTAGAGTGTAGATCTATCTATTGTTTAAGTATTCACTATTTTTTAATAATAATTATTATTTATGTTACTATATAAAGTGACAATATAAGGGGTTAAAGTAAGTAAAGCAAGTTGTACAAAAAGTAACATAAACTACTATCTCCTAAACTAAGCCAGAGCTTGTATTTTAGGTGACAGACGTTCTGCTTTCACAATTGAATTTACAACTATTTATTCATCATGCGAATGCTTCAAAAATATCAACAACTTATATTATAAATATGCATCATATTTGGATAAAAGAAAAAGAAGAAGATTTTATTTTTACATTAAAATTAAAATGAGAGAGTATATGACTCTAAAATAATGAAATCTCCATAAAATTTGCCTATTAGAAATAGAAATTTTACTAATGGACTAAGGAAATACATGAAATTGCAATAAAATTCATGAACGTATTATTTGAAGTCACAAAAGCTCTAAAAAATATGTATAACATTATATTAATATCTTAATGCATTTTGAATCCTTGGGCTTTTTTGTGGATACGCTTTACATATTTCATACAATGAACCATCTTTTAGTAAGAAACATGAAATAAGAGCCCATTCTTGTATTTTCCGCAATATCTTAAAAATAAATGTTATGGAAGGTACAAACATTATGGGCAGTAAAGCAACATTTCGTCTAAATGAGATTCAAATTACGTTTTGACTTATTTTTATACAAAATATGATTGTAAGAAAATTCAACTGGAGCATAGAGTGATATTTTTTGTTACGCTCACACCTACTGCATTATGTTATACATTATATTATACAGTGTAATTGGAAATAATCCATACTAATATTATAAATGTGAAAGTTTGTTTGTTTATCCTTCTTTCACGTTGAAACGGTGGGACGGATTGGCGTGATTTTTTATGTGGAGATAGTTGGAGGGCTGGAGAGTAACATATACATATAAAGTATCCTGTATGTTGACCCGGATAACCAGCTATCACCATACTAAATTTCATCAAAATCCCTCCAGGGGTATTTCTGTGATGCGGTAACAGACAGACAGATAGACAGACAGACAAAAATTCTAAAAACTATAGATTCTGCCTCTGTATCGATAATAATGTTTATGATGTGTAGATGTATAGGTTATCTATTAAACTAAATAACATTATTAAGCCATTTTAAACTCGACTAATGAAAAAAAAAGAAAATTGAATAGATAAAAAATAAATGCTACTGGAATTGTTACGAGTCGAACGGCTATAAATTGGATTTGGTGACTTTTTTCGTCTGGTAAATAAATAAAGTAATTGAATTATGTATGTACATACGTACACATATATATATATATATATATATATATATATATATATATATATATATATATATATATATATATATATATATATATATATATATATATGTATATAATATATACATATATATATATAAAAACGAATAAAAGGCATGTACAGTGGTTAGAAAAACAAAACTTTTCTTAAACCCACAAAGATAAGAAGAATAAAATAATTAGAAATATATATATTATACAATGGTGAAATGTAGGAAATAAATTCCCAATAAAATATTTAACGTAACAACTCACCTTCATTACTATTTTATTAGTATACAAAGTATTTTATTTACCTTTCCTCTATGCGTCCAATTGATAGTGCTGGGCGGCTCTGGTGTGTGCCTCACTATGCATGTTAGGTTTATGGTCGATCCAGCGTAGATGAATAAATCCGGACCTCCCATTATTTCCGTTTCCGGTTCTGATAAACAAAGACTCGGTCAATACTTTGTTACTTTAATTTTGTATGTGGAATAAAAGAATCAGCTTTTTCAATCACTTTCATTCATAAATAATTCTAATAAAATGTATAAACTTTAACAGATATAATATATTTAAATATTTTATTCATTAGTTTTATGTATATTGTATGTATAAGTATTTTTGTGATACTTTTTATATTTTTGGACATTTTGACAACTTTATTTAGTCCGTTTCGTCTTTCAATGTAATCTAATCATTGTTTTAGATTATACTGTATAAATAGAGTTTAACACAATTTTCAAGCTTTAATATTACATGTATTCAAATTATACTATAACATATTTCATTCCACAAATATGAAGAGATAAAAAAGAAATCAAGTATTTTATTTATCTACAAAGGTTATCATTTACCGTATAATATTCTATACATATTTTCGGCAAACGTCTTCACATACGATGTAAAAGATAAGACCCTTAAGAGTCAATAGAGATTTTCTGCTGAGATAAGTGGAAGCAAACATTCGTAGAGAGATTAGCTCTTTGACGTATACTCATACAAAGTTAGTAAATAAATAAAATATTTTTTTGTTAAATTCAAGCCAGAGCTTTTATGTCTTAAGTAAGTAAAGGCTTAGGAGAATAATATGTTGTTTGTTTACAAATAAGGTACGATCTTCACATACATATAATTACATCTTACCTACAATATTCAGGTACACAGCGTGACCGATAGGTGGTGTAGTAGATATTTGGCACTCATATTGTCCAGAGTCTCGTTTCTGTGGACTACGGATGCGTAATGCCCATTCTTCAGATCTAGGCTTGTGCTGTGCTTCGAAGCGCTGGTCAGAAGTATACGTATAGCGACCCACAGTCAATAAGTGAATATCGCGATGACGAACCCATGATACCTGTTAAAAGTAAAATTTCTTTACTAAAAAAATACAATGGAACTAAAAATATAATTATTATTTACAAAGCACATTTTTGGCAAATAAGGAGCCAGCGGATTTGACAAGATGTCTTGACTTTTTTTTAAAAAAGAATGTTTTTTTTTTTTTATAATATAAGCGAGCAAACGAGCAGGCGGGTCTCCTGATGTTAAGAGATTACCGCCGCCCATGAACATTTGTAGCACCAGAGGCACCACTAATGCGTTGCCGGCTTTTCAGGACTTTATTGGTCCGCCCCTTGAATAACCCCATGTTGTAGTCAAGCGGGAACACAGTCGATGGGAGTTGGTTCCACAGTTTGGTAGTGCGTGGAAAAAATGATCTGGCACAACGGACAGTCGAAGTGCTCCAGGTACCCAGGTGGTGAGGGTGAAATTGCTTTCGGTGGCGTGCGGTGCGGTTGTAGAATAGAGAGGGTGGGATAAGGTCAAATAGCTCTTCAGAACACTCCCCGTTATATAGCCGATAGAATACGCAAAGAGAGCTAACGTCTCTGCGGTGTTCCAGGCTTTCCAATGAACTTGTTAGTTTGGGATCGTCCACAAGCCGTACTGCCCTCTTTTGAATCCGGTCAAATGGTAGGAGTTGATACTGGGGTGCTCCGGCCCAAAGGTGAGAGCAATATTCCATGTGTGGGCGGACTTGAGATTTATAAAGTAGGAGCCTGTGCTCTGGCGCAAAGTACCGCTTAGCTCTGTTGAGCACCCCAAGTTTTTTAGAGGCTAATTTAGCTTTTCCCTCCAAGTGATCCCGGAACTGGACTTCGTTCGAAATGTGAACACCAAGAATCCCAATGCTATCGGAGGGGGTGAGGGAAGTGTTCTGAAAGAGAAGAGGTGTGGTGAAAGGGGTCTTTTTGGCGGTAAACGCACAAACTTGTGTTTTTGAGGGGTTAAATTGCACAAGGTTTTGTGAACCCCATACTGACACTTTCTCGAGAGAGGTCTCAATGTCAGACACAAGTTTGGATCTACTCTCTTCCAGCATTGCGCGAGAGAACTGTGCATGACCTTTATAGAGAGCATCGCCAGTGCTGTCATCTGCATAACAATGGATGTTGCTGTTTTGCAACATATCATTGATATGCAGAATGAACAGTGTAGGCGATAGCACGGAGCCCTGCGGGACGCCAGCGTTGATGGGCTTAGGTTCAGAGCAAAAACCGTCGACAGCGACTTTAATGCTGCGCCCATGAAGAAAGCTAGCGACCCAATTGCACAGCTTCTCGGAAAGTCCGTAGGATGGCAACTTCGAAAGTAGAGCCCTATGCCAAACCCGATCAAAGGCTTTAGCGATGTCGAGGCTGACCGCTAGAGCTTCCCCCTTTTTGTCAATAAAAAAAAAATAAAAAAAAAAATAAGAGCTGGTGCTCCTCAAGGTAATTCAGCAGTTGGGTGTTAATAATTTGCTCCATAACTTTGGACAGAAGAGAGGTAATCGCGATAGGCCTATAATTTGAGGGATCTGAATGATTGCCTTTCTTTGGAATCGGGTGGACAAGAGCAGTCTTCCACAAAGACGGAACAGTGCCGGAAGAGTAAGATAGTTGGAACAGACGCGTTAAAACCGGTGTTAACTCCGGAGCACACGTTTTTAGTACAATCGCAGGAATGCAGTCCGGCCCACTCGCCTTGTTGACGTCGAGAGATGAAAGTGTCTTACGCACAGCGCTCTGGGTGAAGCGTATATCACGCAAAGAGCTTTGACACTGCGGGATGATAGGTGGTGTTTTCCCGCCGTCATCAAGGGTTGAGTTGGCAGCAAAGAGGGTGCTCAAAATTTCTGCTTTCTCTTTGGCAGTGTGGGCCAAAGCATCACCCGGTTTGCGTAAAGGCGGAAACGAATAATGACAGAAGTTGCCTTGTATTGCTTTCGATAGGGACCAGAAAGCTCGGGTACCAGAAGGTAGAGCAACTAGTCTCTGTCCAATTCTGTCGATGTGCTCAAGCTTTGCCCTGGCAATGGCATTTTTGTAGGCTCTGGAGGCAGCATTGAAATTCTTCTTTGATTTGGCAGCATTTGCATCATGCTTGCATTGTGCTGAGACCCAGGATTGGTAAGAAGTGCGTTTACGTATGGCGGCCTTTTTACAAATTCCGTTGAACCATTTCTGTGCGCGCTCCCCAGAGGGTATCATGGAGTTCGGAATGTAGCATTCCATACCTTGGAGTATAGCTTCAGCAATTGCCTCAGCACAGAGGTTCGGGTCTTCAGAAGAAAAGCAGAGCCGCGCCCAGGGGTATTAGGCGTAGTATTCACGCAGCCCATCCCAGTCAGCTGATTTATAGTGCCACACTCTACGGCTACCGATATCACGCGTGCAAACAGATGATCGAAGTGGCACGGAAGTCTTAACCAGGCAGTGATCAGAGGTTCCTAGAGGTACATCGACACTTACCTGGTAGCCGGTAGGGTGAGTGGTAAGAAAGAGATCCAATATAGAAGGAGTATGATCAGCGATATCAGGGATCCTAGTTGGTTTAGTTACTAGCTGATTAAGATCATATGCCAGGACAAAGCTTTGGGCGCACCTTCCCGCGTGATCGGTGATACGTGATCCTAGCCATTCCACGTGGTGGGCATTGAAGTCCCCCAGGATCACCACCTCCGCGGAAGGGATGTACCCTAGCACAAAGTCAACCGACCTTTGGACGTGGTCGAAGAGTCGGTCTGTTTCAGCGTTACCGGTATGGGATCTATAGAGACATGCGTAGACCCGGGTTTGACCTCCGTAGTCCACGAGCAACCAAAGAAGTGAGAGATCCCCAATCTCAAGGCTGTTGAGGCGTTGACTACAGATGTCCCCTCTAATGTACACACACACGCCAGCACGAGACGAAAAGACGTGCTCCAGTTTGTAGCCGGGGTAGTTTAGATACGAAGTATCATCGGGGGTTGAAATTTGTGTTTCAGTCAGAAAGAGTAAGGCCGGTTTAATAGTTTCGAGGTGGTGGTGTACAGCGTTAAGGTTCGAGTGCAAGCCTCTGATGTTACAAAAGTTCACACGTAGTGTGGAACGAGGCGCCGCTGTAAAATGTTTCTTTGTATTTCTTTTTCTTTCCATGATTTTGTATATTTGGGGCTAAACTATGAGGGGACCGGGTTAACGAATGGTGCATCGACGGTGTTCTCCAGGTCAAAGATATGGAGATAGTTGCTCCCGATTGCGCAGGTGGTGTGAGTTCCCGGGGGAGAAGCCAACTCCTACCGGGCGCGTCCCCAGGTGGCGGATAGGGGCATGCCACCCGCTTAGAGGGGCGGGTGGTACCGGAGAAATCCGGCGCGGACCAAATGGCTTGGATGGGGCCGCTCGTCTAGGCCTCGAGCCGAAGACGTTGCGGCCACCGGTGGTGGGACCGCTTGGTCCCACAACCGGATGATGGGTGCCGGTTGCGGGACTGTGTTCGCAGGCCCGCATTCGGCGGAGGGATAGGCCGCGGCGGGAGAGGAGTGCCGGTATTTCGGTGCGCCGTTCTCCCTACCTTCCGCGGCCTAGACGGGGCCGCCACCGTTTGATGGCGGACGCGGTGGGGCTGCAGGGGAAGAGGAGTGTCGGTGTTTCGTTGCCGCTCTCCCTGTCCTCTGCAGCCGATTGGAGGTGGCCCACTTCGGTGGGCGGTGTTTTGGTTTTATGGGGCTGCTTCGGGTACCTCTCTGACGTAGCAGAGTTGACTGTGGAGCAGCCCCATTGGTTTGGTGGTCTGCCTAGTTATTTAGGCAGACCTGCCGCCGGGGCGCCGTAGTAGTTATGCGCAAGCGATCCTGCGGCGTCCCACTAAGGCGGGGGGAAGGGATGTCGGGTTTTAGTGGGTAGTACCGGCTCTTCTAGCCGGTGAGCCCAACATCACCACCTGGGGGATCAGGTGGTATGCGTAAATGCATTTCCCGACAATAAAAAAAAAAAAAAAAAAAAAAGGTGGTGTGAGTTACTGGCGCGAGGGACGGAAGGGCCCCCAATCCGATCCACTGAATGACCGGCGGGTTCCACTCCGGTCTCCCACTCCGGCACTCCGGTCATTCACCGGACTTTTTTCGTCGGTGGCGGGACAGCCTCCTAAGACGGGATATCAAAGGTTCGGGTCCCCTACGGACCAACGGGCGGCCAGCGGACAACCGTTTCATCGGGTCTCCCTGGACCACACGCCAATATATCACGCCTACGCATACGGGGAGGGTTTTTCTTCCACAAAGGACCCGAAGAGCACAGGCAATACACCATTCGGGGGGATGGGAAGGGATAGCTGGCTCTCCAGCTCACAGCCGGAACGCAAGAGTGCTTTGCGACTGATTTCGACCGGAGTGTGGTCGCTAGCCAGACGGATTGGGTTTATCCTACCACAAAGCAGAGATACCGTAGAGATTATGCCGTGCGGTATTAGACACAGCGACCCATAATGGGGACTGGGTAGTGTCAGAGCCTCGTCAGCAGACCAGCAGGGTGCACCGCGCGCAGGTGAGGTTGACTTTGGCCACAAAGATGGTATTCGGGCCACTTGCACCCCAAAAAATGTAAAAGTTGACAATGTTTAATGTTTATATATTACTAGCGACTCACTCTCGCTTTACTTTCTTTCCCATACAAATTTTCATCCCTATTTTCACCCCCTTAAGAGATGATTTCCGGAATAAAAACATATCCTATCCTATGACCTTCCCAGGAGGTCAAAAGTATTTTGCTACCAAATTTTATCTAAATTGGTTTAGTAGTTTCGAAGCTTATTCGGTACAAACAAACAAACAAAACCTTCCTCTTTATAATATTAGTATAGACTGATAACAGATAATATTTTTAGCAGGTTGATATTTCACGATCCAATGAAGTCCAATGGAACAAAATAACGTATGTAATATACAAAATATATTATTCAAAAAAATTAGAAAACAAAACCAATCTTTTCTGTGACTAAATACTACGAAATTAATTATTATTTACTTACGTAATTTTCAATACACTTCAA